ATGAATATGGAGAGGAGATCGATCGTGATGTTAATTTAGTAAGCAGACCACTCCTTTGATGTAAATTATGACCGGAATGTGTTTTCGTACAGGTAGCTATTCAATACGTTGTCCTGTCAGTTTAATGTTAATAAACCGAGTAAATTGTGCACATAAATCTTAAGAAGATTCTCCATCAATAATAATAAATCATTGTTAGTCCACAATACGGAAGGTGTGTTCTAATTTATTAGCATTAATTCTGTTGATATCGGTATTTTGATTTTCATTGACCAAGTAAAATTGTAGCTATTTTCATATATTTTATACCTTGAAGTATATGAAATTTTCGATAAAACGATGATTAGCACGAAAACAAAGGGTTTATATTAATTTGGATGTGATGTACTAATATAAATATGATAATTTGTTCGCTCGTGGTAATTGTCACGTACTTACCTACAGTAGACCTCCAGTTCTCTGGTGTTGATTAATGAAAGATACTGTTCATTAATACATTGAGGAAAAATTTATAAACATTTCCATATATGACTTAAGAACATAATGTAGTCATAGTTCATACAACGTGAGTCATCGGTATTTGAAAATTTTGGACATTGTTTCCTAGTAAATTTGCAAGTAATCATGTACGAAAACAGACTTGTAATTATGATGAGTCTCCATTAATGCTTTGAATTCTGTAATTTAATGTATTAAATGTTGCATTTAGCAAGATGTATTTGACATAAATGGGTCACGACTTTACCTACTTTTTTTATTACATTTACGTTCTCAGTTGACCTAATTTATTATCTAGGATGTTTATACTATTACTATTGATATTTTCTGAAATTCTGATCTGATTTCAGTGATTCTATTTGCAATTCGTTGATTACTATCTGTGAATTAAAATCTTATATGTAAAATCTTCTAATTTGAAGAATTTGTTTGGTCGGTAAAATGAATACTAGAGCTTTACTATGACATCTAGAATATACAAGAGAGAGAGGTAAAAATTTAATTATTTGACAAAATGCTTGTCCAGCTCTATTCTCCATCTTGGCGTTAATTGGCATTCTCGAAAAGTCCTCACGAACAGGTAACATGACAAAGTTGACACTGGGATTGGTAAATATTGATACACTCTGTTTATCAAGAATCAGTGAACTCGCTTACGGCGTACTTATTTCCACCAAGCCGAGTCCGACTGCTAATGTGCCTACATCTCTTGTTTCTGTAATTGTAAGCATAAATTATTTATAAACCTTCTTTCGCTTTTATCTTAGTTTAAAAATATTTTGATAAATTTATAGGTTCAACGTCATTCTTTATATATAATATTTCGTTCACTAATTCTGTGTCACCAAAAAAATATTTAAATAAAAGTTGCATTTTTTAAATGGTTAGAATGATACGCTACGGATATTATACTTATTTTGTTCTTGAATATTGTCCACAAAATAATATAAAATTAATGCTTATATTTAGTAAATATGATATCGTATCATTTTTGTAAACAGTGGTCTTGGAATGTACTTATATGTTCGCCATCCAATGTAATCACTCAAAGATATGCGCTCGCGCAAATATTGTCACTGTCTTATCATGTTGTAGGACATCGCCCACAGGTGAAACACATAAATAAATTATTCTAAAAATTCTATGTCATTTCAATAACCAACAAAGGGTCGTTAAACGTCTGGGGACCTGCCCAAGATTAAGGGTGTGTAAAAACTATTACGCAACCTGCGTTTAACCTGATACTCTTTAATCCCCCGTGCACAAAAAATGTGACGAGATCCTGTTCCATAAGGAGTTGGGAGATGGGTGCGGGGCGCGGGGGAACGCGGCACCTCCGAGGCGCGCCACGCTGCCGCCGAATAAATTATGTTCTTTGGCCCCTATCGCCCCCCGCGCTCTCCGCTTGCACCCCTCGAGACTTTATCGATCGAATTGGATAATCCTAGAGGTCGCTAGATCGCCGGCGCCTGAGCTCGCGCCCGTGTACCACAGTCCACACTACAAACAAATGACCTTTAGCCCTGTAATGCACGATCAAAATGTAACTCTGATCACGGTTTTTGATTCGTGGTGTAAGTTTATAAATAAACAAGCCTTAGACTTTTATATTTATGTATATATTTTTTGAAGTTTGACCGCTCTCATAGATCTATAAGTTTATTTTTTCATTCTTGGACAATTCACACAATGCGATCTAAACCCAAGCTAAGCAGAGTTGTGTTCTGGATATGATATAAATACCTTAGATATATTTTTTTGTTAATACCTACATAATGTACATAGGAAACACTCAAAGCAGTGCTAACAATCATACTCATGAATACAAATATTTTTATTATTTATTATTTCCGTGCGAGGAATCACATCTGCGACCATCGGAAGTAAATCGTTGTGCTAAAACCACTAGACCATCGTCCTCAAAAATATACGTAGTCTTTATTATTTTCCTATAAAGGTATTAACATCTCGTTTAAACGAATTTTATGCGTAAATTATTATAATTGGTCTTTATATTATTAGCTATAATATTTTGTACAAATTATTACAATCTAAAAAATAAATAAAAAAATCTATATATATAAAATTGATGTGTGACAATGTTTGTGACAATACTCTTAGGAAAGGATTTGACTGAATATTATGAAATTTTATGTGTACAAGAACATACAGATCTGAGAATAGGACGGTAACTATTTTTCGTAAGTTTAAGTTATAAGAGTAGTCCACCCCCAAAAATGAATATTATTTTTTGGTTTTATTTATGTTTTGATTTCTTTTACAATTTTGCATTAACAATTAGATACGATCCTACATTTTCACTCTTATACCATCTACCCCGATTTTTTAATATAGATAATAATTTGTATAGGAAAATAAGGTTTGCCGGGTCAGCTACTAAACCAATAAATATTTAAAAAAAGTTTAGTTAATTTGTTAAGTTTATTTGATTTTCTATACTATTCTATTCCGGTTTGTAATTTCAAAGCAGGCATTTTGTTGGTACTTACAACAAGTTTGTGTACGATATGTTCTATATCAAATTCATTTTGATCAATTGCCCTTTTATCCGGTATCTATACAGTAAATCGATTTGCAACAACGCTTGCTGTAAGCACTCGCGCGTTATGTCAGCCTGTACTGTATGTTTGTATGTTTATTCATCTATATCGGAAACAACTGCGCCGTTTGTCGAATTCAAATGAAGACGTGTACCGTGCGACGACGCGACCTACTATTGTCTACAGTTTATTACTAAATCATTCTATACATTGTATGAAATAATTTATCCATCCGTGGTATTGCTACGTTGATATGACGTGTTGCATAAAATATTATCCCTGTTTGGAATTAAGAATTCAGATAATTTCCTTTAAAAGAATCATACGAATATTTTGATGTTTCTTCAGGCCTTAGATGCGAGAGTTGATATAACAGTTTTTAATGTTATTAGAATGAGATGTACACGTATATTGTATCTATTAAATACTACTATGTCGGTAGTATCTGTGCACAATTAGACAATTTATAGATTTTATCACTCCGCTTCGTTGACGAACTTATGGTGCTATGAGGACATTGAGGGTGCTTCCCACGGGAAAATGTCTGTACACAAACTGATATTTACTATAGCGATAGTTGTCGCCCGACACGGAATTAAACTCGATCACGTCATCGAAACTCAAATCATGATTAAAATTATAGCCCGCCACTTCGATTATTTGCAAATTGGTGTACCAGAAGAGCCTCTGGAACAATAGCGAGCGTGTAATTTGAATTTATGACTCTAATTTACATTCTATTTGCCAATCGTCACAGGCGTATTCGATTTTAAATCGGTCGAGTACTTTACGATTGCAGGCATCCTTGAGTTGCATTAATGTAGCCACAGAATCGACATCACCGTTATTCATTGCGGCAATTGGATGTGGTACAGATCGGGTAGTGACGCGGTGCGCACGTGAGCCACATATGGACGAACGCGGTGAGATCGGCCATAGCTTTTGCAACGAGATAAGACCGATTCATGACCAAATTGGTCTGAGGCGACGCGACCACCGCGCCGACTTGCCCTTATCCGGCGATGCTAGTAAACTTTCTAAAATAACATAAGAAAACAGTCAAGGATACGAAATAAGGAGGGGTAGTCATCCAAGGGATTATATAATACAGAAAACGCAACTCGCCGAACACAGCAGAGACAAGTAAGGCGCGCCAACAGGGAAAACAACAATAAAGTACAAAATTATGAGGTAGTCGTAAAAGTATCGCATAATGTCTTCCGATTAGTTAAGCGTCGTCATCTTTTATTGGTTACGTTTCCATAATAACATGTGGAAGTTGAGATATAAAGATTGGCTGTAAACTATAAAAGCTTCAGCTTCCGACAGATGTTGAAACACAAGAAGTGCTTGCTATCAATTTTATGCCCTTAGCTAAAATTGTAAGCCTTGTTAAATTTAAAGGAAGTACAGTACAGCACAGTATGAATATTATGCCTCGAGATAATTTTTTATATGCGTATTTCTTAATACCATCTAAATTAAACATAATTTAACACCAATATTATGTATATATCTGTATCTCACGTGTCTGACTTTTCGGATAATCCATTTACAAATGTTAATAAATGTGCAATATAAAAGTAAATAAATTTTGCGCTGTTTGTTTATTTCAATAGTAACCCTGATATTGTCATCAAAGCGGTTCGTTGTTCTCCGTAACTAATAATATTTTTGCTGTCATCATGTTATTTGGTCCAGCGTTTATTGTTTATGTGTTACAACTAGATCGTGTAAACATTTAGCATTATCGGCACGTCAATGAATCGCGTTGGTGTGTTTCGGATCATAGATGCGTGGCGCGTTTGTTGCTCGTCGCGTTATCTGCACCGTGGAGCCATGTGGAGGCTGTGCAGCGAGCCTAGCATTGCATACTGCACGCAGTGGCCGGCGGGGCGGGGGCTGGGGCGGGGGCGGCCCGAGCTCAGGGGGACGCCGCTCTCGCTCCGCCCGTCATTTCACATTTGCGCCTTTGGCGTCGCGACAACCGGACTTGTTGCGCTCGGTGATTCTTGCATATCGCGCGCGCCAACCGTAACGTCTCCCGTGAGACGGCGTGCGTTGTGACCGTCCACAATAATCTCCGTGGTGTAAAAATAAAGCCGTCGACAGACGGCGGCGTCCCAAGTTATATTTAAATGATAGCACGGACACGGTGCTGGGCTCGCTCCGAACGATCGCCGACGACATGAGACTGAAAAGTATGTGCGACACCATCGTCTGACATCTAAACTAGTTCATAAGTCTAAACTCGGCTGCAAATGGGCATGATTATTGCATTTCTATTCGGCAATCATAAGTGTTCAAGGAATAGCGATTTCGTGTTCTTCTCGGAACTGTGTGATGTCTGCCGGTACTAAATCTCAACGTTCAAATATGCTGCAAACAGCACCTTTGTAGATTGTGATCTTTTCATGTATTGCATTGTGAGTTTTGAGATGTTAAATATAGTGAAGGAGTGTCTCGTCTGAATTATTCATTTATTCTGTTTATAGTTTTCTGTGTTTATGTTCGTCGAGGTGACTAAAAGCTTGCTGATATGTCGTAACGTAATAAATGATGTCCAGATTCTTAATTATTTCTTATTTGCGAAAATGTATAGATTTATTGGTATATAACGAATAATATTTTATTCTTGCTATCACGACACAATTTTGTTTATCGTTGGTGATAAATATATCAATATTAAAGTGATATTTTCAACTAATTGATTGTGTTATATCAAATCGTACTTGATTGTCTTATCATTGGTAGCTATTTCTTGTTTAAATATAAAAGTACTGTCTTTTCCTTAATGCATATCTAAAAGAATATCGAATAACATCTACACTTGTATAAATAGTGAGGTGAATATAACCTGGACGCTCAAATTTAGATCGTACTTACCTTTTTTATATTTTCCAATTTTGTTGAATCAAATGTTAGTTTCGTGTCTAGCTTTATTGATATTGTTAAGTCAAAAATTATTATTTGATCACCTAAAGAGATAACTACTTGTGTACAAACATTGTTCGCTTTTAATAGTGTAGGATACGTACTACAATTACGCGTGTATTGATTACTAGTTGCTTTGTTGTCATCATATTGTAAACCCTTTCAAATTGCTTTTAATAGTTATATTTTATCATCTAGTGTTGATACACTGTTGTTGTTGATAAAGATGTTGAATGATTATTTTGTACTCATGTTTTTAATAATCAGTTTGATATGAAGGGAGATTCAACCGAATCAAATGATAAAATGGATCATGTTGGTGAAATGCAAGTGAATGAAGAATAGCTGTTTCATTTTTTTTGGATATAATTACGATGAAACTAAGTAAATTTGCTTTTTATCTACTACTACCTAACTCGCGTAACTACGTCTGCATCACATTTTTAAAGTTGTAGTGTGATGTTATATAGCCTATAGCCTTACTCGATAAATAGACTATCCAATATTACAAGGATCTTCAAAATTTGTTCAGTAGTACCGGATTACCCCTGTCATTCAAAGTTACAATCTTTACCTCTTTGTATAATATTAGTATAGATTATTCTGCTAGATACCTTGTTTGAATTTTCGCAAATCTTCTATATATATAATTTAGTATTGTATATTTTGATACTGTATTTATATATTCATATAATTATTTAGCAGAAATTTATATTCACATGAGTTACAGAAATGCAGGAGTTATTTCGAAGTTGACTTTAATAAACTATAAAGTTTATGTAATGATGCAACCAAATTGTATTAGTCTCTATTAATTATTTTTGATGATTATTAATGCATTTTTTACTCTTTTTCCGTCAGGCCGTAGATTTCACTACGTTACCTGCTATCTATTGTTGTTTGATATCCCTTTGTATTCTAACGAGCAAATTGTTAGCGGCCCATGGACGTTCAGATGTTACCTGTTACTGGCACCAAAAAATCTTAGGAAATTTAAAACGCATAACTCCCTTTTTGCTACGCTATTGTCCGGTCTGGTATGATTTATTTCGGTTATCGATTAAATAATAATTTCTATTCGATGTAAAATGTTCATACCTTTCAGATATATCCTGGTTATAATGTTTGTTATAGGTTTGCAGGATTTGCGCATTTCCTCAATATTTGATTTAGTAATGTCTTCAAAAATGATAAAACCCCTGCCTAACTATTATGTAAATAAGTGATATAGGAATTCGTAGCTATGGTTGCGGCATAATTAAAGAATAAATTTTAATATAATAAAGATTTGGCCAGCTACATTCCATTAGCGTGTTCATGGAAATTATTTTTAACTCGGTCCAAACTAATTTATAATAATCTAGTCTGGGTCTTGTGACACCACTTTAATTTGTTAATGTTTAGTAATATAATATAGTAATATACTACTGGTTATTAAACATTACTGGTTTCATTCCTATATAAAGTACTAGCTGACTCGCGCAACTTCGTCTGCGTTTCGTTTCTCCATCCATTGGAATATTTTTCATTGCAGCTCCGCTTCTATTGGTCGTAGCGTAATGTTGTATAGCTTAAAGCCTTCCTCGACAAATGGACTATCTAACACAAAAAGATTTTTTTATTCGCACCGGTAGTCAATGAGATTAACGCGTTCAAACAAACAAACTCTTCAGCGTTATAATATTAGTATAGAAGTATAGATAATGGAATTAATTCGCTATGGTGGAAGCAGTTATTTTTTGCCGAGATCGAATCAGCGATACGGAACATTGGTTCAGCTAAAAAGACGTTCATGAACGATCATTTAATCATTGATTTTGAGATTCTAAGAAGCAACAAAAGATGAACAGTTGTTTTTGTATTTGTTAGTTTTAAATAAGTAATTTTGTTTTTAACCTTTCAGTATGTTTGTATGACTGTACAGAATTTGTGTATCTTTTGATTGGAACAAAGGGGAAAGTAAAGGTTGCCATATAAAGAACATTTTTGTAAATTGCAACAATCGAATTGTCGAGTTTATGCCTGTTTACAAGTGATGAAATGAGAATAAGCGTGTAATTGAATGATAGAACCAATTGCCATTGCTTTCGACATCTAGTTGGTATATAGATACAACAATATTAATCCTAATCCTAAACTATCTTTGAAATTTCTCTAAAGATAGTTGAAGAATTGGAAATATTAAACCAATTATGAAGTCTGCAAATCTTATTAATATTATAAACGCGAAATTATTGTGAGTATGGATGTTACACTTTCACGCAAAAACTACTGAATGGATTTTGATGAAACTTTACAGTAATATAACTTATACATCAGAATAAAATACAGGCTATAAATTTCACGTGGATGAAACAGCGAGCACAGCTAGTAAAATATAACAGAGATGTGTGGTTTCTATTATTTATTTTATTATATTACTAGCGAAGGACGGCTTCGCACGGCATTACATCTTTGAATTTCTCGGCTTGTTCTATAGTATAACATGCTTGTATTATACATATAAATCCTCGTCTTGAATCACTCTATCTATTGCTGAAAACTGCAATAAAATCTGTTGCGTAATTTACAAGATATAAGCAACAGACAGCGACGGCGACTTTGTTTTATACTATGTAAAGATGTATTGTATCAAAGACTTATTTCTTGATGTATAAAAATAAATTTGTAACTGTAACAAAATAAGTTTTCTCAAAAAAACTCACACTTTCAGTTTTGAAATTATAGGAGATCTAATTGTCAAATGTTTGGTTATTACAGGCGTGGGTATACACTGCGAGTGCTCAGGCCCCAGCGCTTGCCCTGATGGTACCGCCAACAGCACCTGCCTCACGCAGCCCGGCGGATACTGCTTCGTAGCTGTAGAAGAAGTGCTCGATGAAAATGGCTATGTGGTGCAGGACCGCACCTCGGGCTGTCTGCCGCCAGACGAGTCCGGGTTCATGCAAGTGAGTTGCAACCAACTATTTAATATAAACTTGAATATTACACGGATATTTTTCAGTAAAAAAAAATGTAATGGTAACTGTAACTATAATCATCATCATCACCTGCTTCTTCCTTATTCCAATTTTTTGGGGTCGGCGTAATGTTTTTCTCTTCCATTCATCCCTGTTCGCTGTCATCTCGTTATTTAGTTCCTTTCTTACCATATCATCTTTCACACAGTCCATCCATCTCTTTTTCGGTCTTCCTCTGCCCTTATAACCATCCACATTCATATGTAACACCTTCCTTAAGATATGATCTTCATTCCTACACATCACATGCCCATACCATGATAGACGATTACTCTTTAACCTCTCCGACACTTGTGTAACTTAACTGTAATAATAATATAAAAATAATATTTTTCTCTTCGATGGGGTTATTATACGATGGTGGGCACTCGGCGTGGTTGTGGCTACTATGTTTTTTATGGATGATAATGGAATAGTGCACCCGCCTGCGCTGACGGTTTACGCTGGCGGGGCACCAGAGAAGGATGATAAGATGAGCATGAGGTCAGGTCAGTTAGCCCATCGTGACAAATTCACCATGAAGTCAAGCCAAACTGTGATAAAAATTGTACTGTTAACTGTAACTACAGTAATATCTTTCTCTTCGATGGGGTTAATCTGGGATCGTAAGCACTAGGCCCGTGTAGTGGCGCTAATGGTGTCTATTGTCCTGGTCAAAATATGGTAAGGGGTTTAATTTCTAGATTTACTACTGGAATGGAATGGAATGGAAACTCTTACAACAATCTGGCAAAAAATGTAGTGTTACGCTATTAGGGGTGCCAGGTTCGTTTCTTCGCTCACTACAAACATTTGTATTCATGAGTATAATTGTTTGTATTGCTCTGGGTATTCACAAAAATGATATATTTCAGTATATCTATCTGCTGTCTAGTAACCCTATAACACAAGGTCTGCCTAGCTTGGGACTGATGGCGCCGTATAAATTGTCCAGGTTATTCTTATTATAACACAAGCTATGTTTAGCTTCACTGGATGACGCTGTGTTAATTGTCCAGGGTCATTATTATTATTTCCTTATTCCGTGGCCACAGGTAGTGAGATGAACCGAGTGTTATGTGTTTATCAGTAAATATAAAAGATAAATCATATCTGTTTAGAATTTTACACCGAAAGATTATATTTTTATAAAGAAACTAATTTTGTATCTATTCTTTCTTTTTCAGTGCAAAAGTAGTCAAGTACCGCATCAGCATCCCAAAGCGATCAAATGCTGCGAGTCAGATTTCTGTAATAGAGAGCTGTACCCGCAGCTGCCAGAACCTCCTCCCGACGTGACGGAAACACCAACAGGCATACACTCATCCCTTTCCGCCAATTCCACAATTTTCGTTGCGGCCGCCTTGTGCTTGGCGCTAGTAGGCTTCGTGGCTGCGTTTCTACTGCTATTCAGACGACGTAGACGCGGTTGCAAACGACCGCCAACGCCACCGGCGCCGTCACATCACGCAGAGATCTCATCCGGCTCCGGCTCTGGTCTGCCGCTCCTCGTGCAAAGAACTGTGGCCAAACAAATACAAATGGTGGAGTCTATAGGCAAAGGACGCTATGGCGAAGTCTGGCTGGCGAACTGGCGAGGCGAGAAGGTGGCCGTAAAAGTATTCTTCACCACCGAGGAAGCGTCGTGGTTCCGAGAAACTGAAATATATCAAACGGTCCTCATGCGTCACGAGAATATCCTCGGGTTTATAGCTGCAGACATCAAAGGCAATGGCTCATGGACGCAGATGTTACTTATCACGGATTACCACGAGAACGGGTCTCTACACGACTACCTGCAAACTGTTGTTCTGGATACGCATAGCTTAGTGACGATGGCATTCTCGATAGTAAGCGGATTGGCGCACCTTCACATGGACATATTCGGAACTAAGGGCAAGCCGGCCATAGCGCACCGTGACATAAAGAGCAAGAACATCCTCGTCAAACGCAACGGGCAGTGTGCCATCGCGGACTTTGGTCTCGCGGTGCGCTTCGTAGCGGAACAGAACGAGGTGGACATAGCGCCGAACACTCGTGTCGGCACGCGGCGGTACATGGCGCCCGAGGTGCTCGACGAGAAGCTGGACGTCACGAACTTCGAAGCGTTCAAAACGGCGGATATGTACTCGCTAGGATTGGTGTTATGGGAGATGTGCCGGCGATGCGCCAGCGGAGACAAGGGCCAGTACGTAGAGGCGTACGCGCTCCCCTACCACGAATACGTGCCGTCAGATCCATCGTTCGAGGACATGCATGCAGTAGTGGTGGCGAAGAACGTTCGGCCGCCGATCCCCGCGCGGTGGATGGCGACGGAGCCCCTGTCGGCGCTGGTGACGGTGATGTCGGAGTGCTGGCACGCCAACCCTCCCGTGCGGCTGACGGCGCTCCGCGTCAAGAAGACCCTCGTGAAATACGTGACCGACACGCATGTGAAGCTAGTGTGACCGTTATAATGTGTGTACTGTTCCTGTAAATACGTACTGTGAGTACCTACTCGCTGTGTCGGACGGTGCGGCTGCCGGGGCGCGACTAGGCTACGTTCAAAGTTAAGTTCCTCAATATTCTATTTATTTTTACGTGATCAAACATACCCATAGCTGTAACGGCCATCGATGTAAATTCAGACTGACCACCGTTTCGTTTAAATCTCAGTATTGTTAAGTTTGTACAGGTGAGCGGCTCGGACTGGACCTATAGATAAGTAGACGCCTACCAGTGAAACTATTGTGTTTATTTTCAGCGCACTCGTGAAAACTGTTCAGTTTGAATCTCTCTGATATAAGGAAACTTTCGGATTTGGTTTGTTCATTGGACTTATTTTATTTTATGATTGTTATGTAGAATACTAAAGGATTTTATAATGAAAATTTATTGTCTTCCGTTTTGATAAGCAATACGAAGTGTTCGTGTTGAGGCAGCTTTTGAAATACTCTGGTTATGTTTTATTATGTTTGTGTATTATTAGCCGGTACTGCGCGGTACATATGTACGATAACAAACATTGAGCGTGTTGTATTGTGATATATTGACAATAAGATGCAGATGCCTTAAATTACAAAGTGTACGAACCATACAAAATTATAGTCCCAGTTTAGTGTGTGTGGCGTTAAAGGCTCACTAATAGCGGAGACGCGGATTTTCCTCACTTCTCTAAGTGGCGAGAGTCGCTAATACATGTCGCTGTAGTTAAATTTTGATGCATAGAGAAAGGAGCGTACAATATCGAAAACCCAACGGCATTGTTGTCAAGTTTCAGAAGTAAGTTGTAATTATGAAATAAAAGAAAGTTATAAAAGATGAAAGAAGTTATAAGTGCTTTAATAGTAATTTAATAACTAAAATGTTACATGAACATGAAAAACTTTTTATTTCTTTCAAAAACAATTCCATTTCAATAATATATTGTTGGGACGACCTAGTAAGAAAAGCAAAGACTGCGTCAGGGGTATCCTGCTCTTACATATATGTGATTTCAAATAGAAAAATTTTGTCATGAATTTCCTACAATAGAATATATACAAATATTGTTTTCTATATATACAAATATATAGAAAACAATTATCATGCAATAACATTCTGAAATCACTAAACAATTGGATTAGGGAATATTGCCTTTGTAATTTTACCTAAAGGTTATGCAGGCAGTGAGTTTCTTTTGTATACATTATTGTGCAATATTTACATAGCATAAAATGAAGTCACTTTCGCTGTCTGTTCGCTTAGACCTTTTAAACTACGTAACGGATTTTAATGCAGTTTTTATCATATATAGATATCATAGGTAGAGTGATTCAAGAGGAAGGCTTATATGTAAAGAAAAGTTTACTTTGAAAAAGAATGCCGGCATAGTTTGAGTTTTCGATAATGAACACTGCATATATCTTCGCAATTAGTGAAGCCGTGTCAGTAGAGACATTGCAGTTCTGTATACACATATGATCGTACTTAATGTCGAATAGAAGACTTATTTGTGTGTGAGTATTCAACATATGCGCAGTGTCTTATGAGGATGCCTTCGCCACGTTTAGTATTAATTAACACGGTTTATTTGTTGTCATGCACTTGGTCTGCCGGGTAACGAATAATGCAGAATTATGTGCCTTATTTCTCAAATGTATAATAGAAGTGCAAATTCTGTAGAGACTATTAAAACGGAAATTAAGAATAAAAATTCTTAGCCAATCTTAGCTAAGAATTTTTATTCTTAATTTAAAACTATATCTGTTGGATTACTTGTAAGGGGTATATATACCTAAATAGGGAATATATACCTTCCTAAAACAAATCATAATATTTTATTAATGTAGAGCAATAGGTCTTTGTAATATATAGTTTTTGATTGTAATAACAAACTCTTATGTTATGCCAAATCTACAAAAACTCAGCTCTCATTATTTATAAAATCACAAAAATAAGAATACTCATGTAAATAAACAAAAAAAATCATTAGAAGAATAGGAAAACTATAATTAATTTTCTTTTTCATTTTCTTGGGATTTGATAAACTTTATGCATTCTGTAAATGATTTTAGGCACCGGTGTTTGGTGTATCCTTACAACTCCTGTATGAAATACCACTCGTGGTAACATAAGTGACGCTCTCAGAAAGCAAAATTTTAAAAGTATGTAACAGTCATTTATCCTTGAACTCTGTTAGTGCCCACTAATTCAAATGTATAAATTATATTGACATGTTCTTATGGATGATAATGGAATGGTGCACCCGCCTGCGCTAACGGTTTACGCGGGCGGGGCACCAGTGGAGGATGATAAGATGAGCATGAGGCCAAGTTAGATAACCCATCGTGGTAAATTAACCATGGATTTATCGCGATGGTTTCTAGAGGTAACCGAGTGGAGGTCAATCTGATATGGTATATTGTTAGCGATGGGGTTATTAGTCCATATTACTAACAATCACCTTCCCCCAATATTTAAATGAAATGAAATGAAAATTCTTTTTTGTTCTCCTCACAGAATACAAATATTTATGTACACTATAAATATATAAATATGTATAAATATTGCAACATTAATAAAGGAAAGAGGCAACAATGGGCGGCCATATCGCTGAAAAGCGATTTCTTCCATTTCCATTAACATGTTGATCCTTCAGAATTTGCACTACGAACTGAATAATGTAAAAAATGTACACAATTTGTTTCCTTTTAAAAGGCTGGTGGTTGTATTGTATAATATTATTAACGATGTAGTTTAATTCTCGTGTTTTTAATGAGACCAAGTGGCGTAGCATTTATTGTGCGCGAGCGCGCCTGTACAGTGTTGTGTAAATATAGCGGGTAGAGACATTGCATAGGTATGTAATACATGTTGATAGATAAGTTATGAATAAAATATAATGGACTTAGCGTTCTCGTTTCATTTATTATTATTTTATGTATTCGTTCTTAAGGTGTGTATAATATGGGCCAATATTGTTGTGTAAATAATATTAGGTCGCCTGATAACGCTGCGGAATTTGCCGTTTTATGTTTTTTAAGAGTGGAATTGAAATGGAACTGAGCGGCACATTTAGTGGCAACCCTAGACTACAGACATCACATCATCAATGAACTTGCGTTCATTTATCTGTTAGTGGTAAGTTGCAGAATTAGCCGCTTTGTTTTTAAGAATGGCAAACTGACTGGTCACAGTAAGTGGCAACCCTAGTTTAGATAGCAATTAAGTAACACAGACCTCACATCATCAATGGACTTAGTAAATTTTATTTATCTAATGTTAACAGTACGTTGCGGAATTAGCCGCTATATTTTAAGAATGCCAAACAAACTGACAGCTTGTAGTAAGTGGCAACCCTCGCGTACATAGACGTTAAACTCCCACTGACTTCATCATGTGATGCTCTCAATTCCTCTTGTAAGTTGCCAATCAAGAGGACTAGTGTCATGCCTCGATACCCACTATCATATCTTACCCTTCAACCGAACAGCTTATGAAGTAAGGGGCTGTATCCTCGTAGACTTTTTATAAAATCTACCATGGCCATATTTTAATTGGATCCAAACCATCTAAATATTAGGAATCCGTATTTACTTTCAGCTGCTTCCCCTGCCACTCGCGCTACCGGAAATATTGCCGGGCGACAACTGAGCGTGAGGGCTGAATGTAAAAACACGCTGCCAGGCCTTTGACTCGCGCACGAAAAACCGAGAATCGAGGGAGCGCCGGGCAACGCCAATGGCATAGAAAGTGTTTCCAGTATCGCGCTGCTCACTTCCCTGCCCACTCGGAGTGTAAATTGGGCATTAGGTCAGTTGCATCCTGAGTAGAAGTTAAGACGAAGAGGAGTTCCATATTCCATATACCTATTACCTTTCATGAGGACTAAATAGAACGATCTCCTTCCATAATTTATGGTTAGCAGTAGTATCTTTGTATCTATTTGCCGCTGTCTACCATCACACTTGGGCTTTAAATGCATGTTGTCTTTAATCACTTTAAGAAACTGGTGATGCTGGAGGACGAAGAGTTCCCTCCACGAAAATTACAGATAAGTAAAATAATCTTCCATTATTTATGGTTAGGAGTAGAATTCTTTGTATCTATTTGTCGCTGACTACCGTCACACTTGGGCTTCAAATGCATGTTGTATTTGATCACTCTAAGAAACTGGTTGGTATGGCAATAGTGATTTAAAGAGTAAAGGAAAGCAACATGATTGTGAATAATTGCACTCCAGCAGCACTTGATCACCTATTTTTCCAGCGCCATCTACATTTAATGGAGTGTACTATTAAGTGCATACATAATTGGTCTCATTATCAAGGTGAGATTTGAGATACTTTCTTGAACTTTGTTCCCAATGTCATATCATATAGAGTGCATGTGCCCTAAATTGAAGCTATTACAATAATTTCTAAGTAGTCCAAAATTTTGATTTAAACCATGAGCACTTTTTTTTGTGCAGAATTTTTTTCTCTAACTTTTATTTGAAACATTTTGTCATATCAATAACAAGTTATAATGAAAAATGAGTCTTTTCAGCCCCTTTTTTAAATTCTTACATCCATTTCCCGATACTTTAAATCAAAATTTCTTTCGGAATATTATTATTCACGTATTTGAAGATTTATTTTTTTATATTGCGCCAAAACTGGTTACATCATGGTTTCAAACAAAATTTTCTTAGACTAAAGTAAGCATCTTTGGTTGCAGTTATACATAGATTATGAACGAAAATCTAGGTTTTAGGTTTAAAAGCAAAAAAAGTCGAATAATGTACTTAAAATGAGATTTATTCGCTTATTTACATTCATCACAAAACCTTTCACACATTCGCACTATAGAAATTATAACATTTCAGTCATTCTAACTCGATCGCTTTAGTAGTCTTATAAAATTGTAATTTTGTGGACAGTCAACTACATATTAGGTACAATATAAAATAACCAAACGTATGATTTGACCATACTATCCAGATGAGCTTTAAACAACTAGCGTAATTTAATTAATAAGGCGCGTATCTTCTTGATGGCGACGGTCCGCGCAATCCGGGTCTGTGGACAAATAATTGAAAATATATAGTTTCAAGAAAATAGACTATTTTTTAATTTATGATAATGTAATGGTGCACCCGCCTGCGCTAACGGTTTACACTGGCAGGACACTAGTGGAGAATATGAGCATGAAGTTAAGTTGTGTTCATCAGGTAATTATCACAATGGTTTCCATGGGATCGTCCACATGGGAACGGACGTGGAACATGCTGGCAATCCATATTAGTAACAATCCTATTCCTCACCCTCTAATTGATAAAAGTTTGTTATACCTTGATCACATGAATATATATAGAATATTTTTCATATTAGCTTAATAGGGATCAGTTAAAAAGCATTAGGACAAAATTTATGTATTTCTACTACTCAGAATAAGAAATCTTTCTGTCACTACTGTCCTCACCATGGGAGTTTTACTAAGTATTTTATGGGTCTTTCACACATGCCACTTTCACATATTTTTACAATTGTTTACAATTGTAACCATGTAAACTGGATATAAATAATATTATCACGTAAGTTGGGAGTCTATTATCCTCATTTAGCCTCTAATTGGGGCCGTTGCGTGTGTAAATATTGTCATGTTGAATATACTGCTTATATAATGTAAACACTATATGTGCTAAGATTCAAGGTTATAGAATGAAATGTATGAATGATGGTGGGTTATAGATATATATATATTAAAAGATATTTTAAAGAGGATCGGAAATAATATATTGAGAAATGTATTATTAAATAACATTACACTCTCCACTACTGATAGTCAAACTGCCAGCGGTTAAGACTGCCAAATATTTTTATGGTAAAATTATTCTAATATTTAGTAACATTTCTAATTACATGTATAAATAATTACCTTCTATCATCAAAGGTATCACGGCTGAAGTCTTCATACATACTGTAACAAAAAAGTATCATATTTAGTAATCTATGTGATAGTATTTCAATAATACTGTTGCTTTGTAAATTTTAGTAATGACCATATAGGAAATTTACTGGCTCAAACTTAGTGACACAAGATTTATTTTACCTGCACTGGCAACACAATGATGGATTACCTTGGTGGTAAAGATGGCCTATATAGATGAACAGAGTACCATTGTTACTCTTCATGCATTATCCACAGGTGTCATACATATATAGGTACCTGTATTTAATTGTTATTGCTTGACTTCATATGCTATGCATGATTATGAATAAAAAAATGGAAGAATAATTAAAAGAGACTATTTACAAGTGCTTTCAAAGATTATGGCTGTTCTATTATGAGAACCAAAGGAAGTGCATTGGTTTACTTGTTTGCCATTCTGTCACAATATGCACTAACTACTGTTCAGATTTTCGTCAAACAAGTAATAAACAATGGTGCAACAACAACGACAAGACATTATTTCTCACCCGCGGGACATTTGAGGTCCTCGCGGGGGACTTCTGCGGCTGAACATAGCATCATACGAGGACCTCATGGCTCCCATGCTGTTCCGCATCGGGGGTAGACTGGGCATCGGCGGCATCGGCTCGCGGCGCAGAGGAGGCGACACGAAGTCCCCGCGCGCGCCTCGCGAAGTACCCATGTCTAGTCCCCGGGAAGCGCCCACTGGGTATCTTCTCTCGAACATGTCTCTCGGAGAGTCGAAGCGGGGCCGTTCATAGTATCCATCGTATGGGTCCTGTTACATAGGTATCAGTATTAATTTTTATGTAGTAGGTAATAATGATGTTTATAAAATTTGAATACAAAAATTATAACAATTTTATACATAAAAAAATATAGTTATAGCTGTTGATTTGTGGTAAGTGTATTGAGTAGTAAATAACAAAAATTTTGAGTCTCATAGTAGTATGTAAAATATACAAACAAGATGACATAGTAATTTACTATATGATAGACTGTAGCATCAGTGAGCCCGTGGTGTGAGTCGGACCGAGTAAGGCACCGTGTGCGGAGAGTGGATCTACGCGCTCGGCCTACATGATGCACTGCTAGCTATTGTATCGAACCGACGTTTCGAGTAAGTAAGTAACAGTAGAAACGCGTTACCCCAAATCCTCCCATCATGCGATCGCGGAGGAACGGCGGCGGCGGCGGCGGGGGGTAAGGGTCGCGGCCGAAAGCTCGATCACGGAAACCGTTGCGGTCAGGGCCCACGGCCTTCGGGCACTCCTTGGACCAGTGGCCACCGCGGCCGCAGCGGTAGCACTGCTCGGGGTCGCCCATTCCCGGCCGCTGCCGGACGCGGCTCGTCGACAGCTGCACCTTCATGGGCTGACCGTCCACCATCATACCGTTCAGCTCTTTGATAGCTTCGTTCACGTCGCCCGTCGCGTCCAAGTGCACGAATCCATAGTTACGAACGATATCGCACTCGACGACCGTGCCGAACTTCTGAAACAGCTCGCGGACCTCCGGCGCGCGCGTCTTGTCCGTAAGGTTACCGACGAATATTTTTGTGGTCGGCGTCGACGGCGCCTTGCGGCTCTTAGCCGCCTCTATTTTTATCGGTTGACCATGAACTACCTCTCCGTTTAAGTTCTGAATAGCTTCGCGGCCGACTTGCTCATTTTCCATGTGCACGAAACCGTAATTTCTGACGATATCGCATTCTACGACGGTACCGTATTTTTCGAACAACGGTCTAAGATCAGCGTCGGTCGTTTTATCGGAAAGACCGCCGACGAAGATTTTGAAAGTACCGGCGCCCGGCATTTTAGTTTCTGAAACGCATACACAATTTGACGAAATAAGTGAGCAGCGTCCATGGCAAAGCTAAATCGTAGTATCGTGGTCTTTCGAAATATTAATCGATTAAAATAACACTTACCCTGAGCTGCCAGTACGGTAGATTATTGAACACTAATAATTGAAAATACCACACTAACTAACTTCTTAATATACAAGATATAACAATATATTTTCTAACAATACAAGTAGGTTACATAAAATGGCGTCTCTATATATATGACAAATAGAAATAGGACAAAAGATACAAGACACGCGTCATGCGTCAATTCGTGTACAAAACAAGGAGAGAAAATTAAAATGGCGACTTGGTGAACAGTGTGACCACATTCAAATTCAGAATATTGCTAAATAACGTTAAAATGATTTTACTAAAAAAATCTGTCTAAAATGAAAAAAATATGGTAATTACAATATAATAGATACAAATACTAATATATAATCATTCACGAAGGAATCAGTTCACTTTTCGTTCTTAATACACTTTTAAAAGTTTACTTGATATTATTTATAGAAATAAGTATTTTGGTAAAATGTTTGACTTGACTATGAATAAGATATTTCTAACAGTAGGTATATATTTTGTTTTACTGTAAACAAGCTGATACTGTGTTTATAATTACTACTACAGTTGCAGTAGAGTTTTATATGTACTATTACATTTCTATAGAATAAAGCCTATTATTTATGTCATCGAGATTACAACGTATGCTGTTTAATATTGATTTACGATATTAATACAAATTAGAAGTCACATCAGCTAAAAACCGTCTGTGTGGTAATACTGGGAATCCATTTTTTTTTATTTTGCTAGTTACAAATTTTAATGTCATTTTAGCATCTATGGTATCATTGTGCCAAAAGAGAGTACTTCTTAAGAAGGGTTTTCTCTTTCTAAGCATAAGCATTTACAACGAAGGTAGGCCCACCTTTATGTATTTATGGGAATGAGAGTATACAACGAAAAAGACACTTACCGCATAGATATGTGGATTGCGATGTGGATGTGGCTGGATTGCGACGTTGTCATTGTCCTGTTCGAAGTTAATATATGTAACAAGTTTTAAAGGTTTTAAATGGAGGCCCTAATAGAAATATATGAAACGTATTACAGTATTCGGGTACTTGTAGTTTTTAAATTTTAGATATGACATTATTTTATCTTAGTAATGCTTTGTTGTAATTTATTTAAGAAATAATTATGAAAGTAAATAACACTGATACTGTACTGACACTTACAGTCGAGACCACATTTAAATCTAAAGAATTTGCATAAATTGAATCAGGTATTACAGAATTGAAAATACATTGAAAACGTGTGCGTATATGAATTTCCTTAAGTCTCTGGTCTCTGTATGTCATTGTCAACTGTCATTTCTTCTATACCATATATGTCATCTGTGAAACTGAATTCAATTCTGTGATCAATTAATCAACCAAATTGACTTTTCAGTTTTCCTTAAAAATACTCTATATTTATTATATTCCAGTACTTATTCTTTTTATATGTGTTTTCTTAGTGATTTGTGAACATTTCTGTATTAAGTGAAATTTATTTCGGCGCTGCGACTAGTATAGCAAACGCTGTCTTCTATCTTCAGGTAAGTTCATTTTGTTATTTTATTATAGTTTTGTTTAAACTATAGGTATAATATGTTTAAAACACGTAATACCGACACCATGTATGGAATTCCATCTGATGTATTTAAAATTATGAAAATGATTACGTACTGTCTCAAAATAAAAACTAGCAATGAGTGGCAATGACTAATAATATTTATTCTTTTATTATCTAATACATTATGTTGTTTAATTATTTATGTATTTTAAGAATAATATATATTGTTTATGAAATAATAGACTATTTTATTTTCTTTATGCAATGTAAGTGCTTTTCTTTTTAATATTTTATTTGAATATAGAATATATAAATGTTGTCACAGCTGTTTCAGATGGGCTCCTTAGAGATATGTATTTTCGACTATATTTTATGTAATTGTTTCTTTTGATTAATTTTAATTACTTATTCTTACTGGATTTAATTGCAATTTTGGAAAATGCTGAAACAAAGCTTGGCACTACTAACAAACAAAAAACTTATATTATTTTTCATGTAGAATGGAAATGAAAGAAATTAATAGAATATGTATGGTTCTCGAAAGATTAAACATTACTTGAAGCATTGTTTATTAAGCTATGAAGCTTTCATATTTATTTATACTACCTGTCATAAGCATATAGCTTTTAGCCCTTCTGGGAGATCATATATATTGTAATACATACAATATAGTGGGACCAACCGCCCATCCCTGTATTTTATTTCGTCTACGGTATGAATAATAATTATTATTCTTATCAGATATCTTTTGCTACTTGTGTGTGAAACATCTAGTCTATAATAGAATAGATACCATGGAGAGGTAATTTTATCTGTACTATCTGTACTATCTGTGCCTATGGGTTCATCTGCATTAAATGTATAACACATATTATAGTCTATATATTATTCTGATGTATAAGCTACAAGTATATCATTGTAAAGTTTCATCAAAATCTGTTCAGTAGTTTTGTGTGAATGAGTAACATACATCCATCAATCCAAACTCACAAACTTTAGCATTTATAATATTAGTAAATCTTACTGACATAAAAATGTTACCAAATACTTCAGAAGGACTACAACTATTGGTATAATTATATTTTTTTCCTGTTTCTATTTGTCAGGACAAGAATAGTATGGAAGAAACTGTTTCAAAAGCACATGGAAAAATGAAAAATTCAGTTGAATCTTCATATTGAAACAGTTGATAATCTATTTTCTATTTTGTTTATTAATACTGCCATGGGAAGCAAGAATAATAGATAGTTACAAATAATAATATCAAATACCTTATTATTATTAAGATCATAAACCAATCTATGTAAATAAATAAGTCTGTATGTAACAATTGTTGGTGATTCTAAATAAATAAAATAAAAAAAAAGTATAATAATATCTGAGAGGGTAAATTCACTGACCCCACTGACTCCATAGATTGTTTTGTATTAAATATAAACGAAATGTGTCACTCAATTTATTTTTACATTTTGTGATGCTTGCAAAAGTATACTGAAGTATATAGAATTTTTTATGGGTGATAATGGAATAGTATACCAATGGATTACGCTGGCAGGGCACGGATTACGCTGGCAAGGCACAGATTACGCTGGCAGGGCGCAAGTGGAGGATGATAGGATGAGTTTGAAGTCAGATTAGTTATCCCACCATGACAAGTTCATCAGGAATTTATCACGATTGTTTACAGGGGGAACTCTGTGAAGGTTAATCTGGTATGGACCATTGCTACACTTCCCCTCAATTTTAAAATTAATTAAAAATTCCTGTTGTAATCCTATATTATTTATTTATTTATGAGCATACTAGGAGCATACTAGGAGCAAACTAGGAGCGTGTAGTTCAGTACAAAACTGGATTGTAATCCAACACTATGTATGTCTAAAAGCTAAATTATATAGACACATTCAATATGGGCTGGATAAGATTATATAATAAAAAGTAAACTAAATAGAAAATAATATATAACTATGAAATGCTATGAATCAGTATGTTAACAGAAATTATTTATATTAAAGAAAAAAAAAATGGTATTATTAATAGTGTCAGTTCTTTACTTTCATATTTTTTTCTGGGCATCGATTTCACGAATCAAGTAACATGATTTCACGAATCAAGAAAATGCTTATGGGAGAATAGATATATAGTTTAAACTTTCATACCAACTGACACATTTTTCATACTACAAACAAATAAATGCAATAATGTTATGAAAAACGAAATAAACTTTAATTTATACACGTCAAATACACACCACGAAGAGTCTTCTCCGAGATCTGTCTTCAAGGTATATATCTTGTTACAGTAATTCTTGATTTCTACCAGATATAATGTTTTTTTCTAATCCTGTCCGGGACATAAGACTTAAATATCCTGACTATAAACTACAATAACTTACTAGCTGTACTTGCGACTTCGTTCGCGTGGATTATTGACCTCTAATGGCCTTTTCAAGTAGGCTAATTATTTTAAAAATTAAAAAGCCAAAGAATGTTTATCAATCTAGCTTCAAAAATGACGAATTTTCATACAAACTTAAAAGTATTTTTTTTTACAAACTTTGAATGTCATATTTATTTATATTTAATCTAACAACAAATTTTTTTAAAGAACAAATTAATTATATTTAATCTAACAGCCTAAAACATAAGTTTCAAGTTTTAAAATAATGATACTTCCATACAACCGTTCATCTTTTCAACCCTTCACAGCGCTTTTTTCGCATTAAAAAGTAACCTATGTCCTTTCTCAGGGTTTAGAATATCTGTGCACCTTTAAATGAATTCGGTTCAGTAGTTTAGCCGTGATCACGCGGCAAACAGAGTTATTTCGCATTTATAATATTGATAAGAATTATAATTTTTGCCGGACAACAATTAAGGCTTCGTTCCCGCTGTTGCGACATAGTAACACTTGCGTCAATATCATTTTAGTTATAAATCCCATTGTCCCGTATACATTGGTGTTTCACCTACATTTCTTTATTATGCTATATGAAAGAGGAAGCCAGTGAATGTGGCTCCTGAAAAGCTTTCGTGACAGTGATGCGCGTGGTACGCCGTCGTGGGAAAGAGACAGCGGATGGTTAGAGTGAGAGGGCACCCGCTCGATACGCCCCGTATTGTAGGGGCGCCCTTCGCCCCTCGCCGCGCTAAGAGGGTTATATAATTCATTTCTCTATGGGAAATGGTAGAACTGTATCACACCAGTTTCATGATTGGCATATCTTTATATATAAAAATTACGTGTCACGGTGTTTGCCTACTACTGAACAGATTGTAAATTTGATTTGCACATTGTGTGCAATTTGATCCAACTTGAAAGATAGGATAGCTTACATCTCAATTTATAGTCGCAATATTATTTTATTCAAGAACCTCAGTAACAGCAACGATTTGCCGGGTCCTGCTAGTTATAATATATCTTTTTATTTTTCTATATACTTTTATAGATAGGGTTATTATTTCTGTTTTTTGTTAGTTTTTTTTTTAATTTCTGAAATTTTTTATTAGGTTCTTTTATGTTCACTCCGTCTAAAGGAGTGTTTATGAGTAAATGTAGTTTTGTCGCAATGTAAAGGCTGTTTTAATTCGATAACAAAAGGATTTTTTTTATGAATGACAATGTAATGGTGCTCTCCCCTGCACCACACGGTTTGCACTGGCGGGGCACCAGTGGAA